TATATATATATATATATATATATATATATATATATATATATATATGTTAACTCTCATATGTATATGTTATCTTTCAGGTGTTTATGTTAACGTTCAGGTTTATATGCTAACGTTCATGTGAACATATTAACTATCAGCTGTGTATGTTAACTTTCATCTACATATGTTAACTTTCTTATGAACATGTTAACTTTCAACATAATATGTTAACTTTTACTATTACATGTTAGCCTTATTTATAACATGATAACATGCAACTGAATATGTTAACTTGTCAAATGTGCATGTTAAGTATTGATTTTTACTGTTCACATTCAAGTAAATATGTAGTTTTTTATTTGAACATGTTAAATATATGTTATATCCAAACAAAACGTAAACATATGGTGGCAAAAATACCAAAAAATACAATAAGAATAATAAAGGTCAAGCTTGTTGTATTGTTTGTCATCCACATCAACTGTTTATACAACTAAACTAATATACATAATACAGACATGCACACAAGTTTTGGTTCAGCCAATCAATTTCAGAACAACTTTCTCTCATCCTTATCAAATGTCTCTGCTTGATTCTTCTGTTTCCATCCTTCTATATTGAAGTTCAGCTACTAGCCTGACATGGATGACATCAGACTCAGTATCGGAAGTAGTTATTTGATTTGTATCAACCCCATGTATTATAGCCTTCATATATAACGGAGCGAAAATTTCACAATCAAAACTGCATGATATAAAATAGCAAGCTAGTTAGATATATGATGTTGTATAAAATAAAAAAGATTAAATTTGTGAAATACTAACATTCCAGTAAAAACAACTGTTACATAACTAAGTTTCCCTAAAAGCCACAAGCAAAACCCTATAAGGAGAAGTTGTTTAGGTCAAACTCAAAATCTCTCGAAACTGGTATTAAGCACTTTTCAAGATTCATTGTATTTATATTTTATAGTGATGATTGAACTTTTCCTTGTTGATTTATATTGTTAAACTCTATTGTGCTGTATAAATTGTTATGAGGGCATTTTTTGACGGCTTACACTTGAGCTAAGCTACCACGAGCCCATCATGTTACAAAGGCTTTTTTACAGTATAAATAATCTTACAATGTAAGGCAATATTGTTAAAATCACTTCACTAATTTATATTGTTAAACTCAACTATCATGTCTACAATATTATGAATGCATTGTTTGACCGTTTATGTGTAAGCTACTAAGCTACCACTAGCCCATGATATCTCAATGAATTTAAAAAATCACAAACTTGCCTTTTACAAATGCTTTTACAATATTCATAACATCATACTAAAATTCAATCCCTATATTTTATGACAAGTGAAACGTTATCAAGAAAAAAGGTGGACATAACCTGGTATAAACCCATTACCAAGAACTGCAGCCAAGTCTCACACTACTCAATCCAAGCTGATAAAAATAACTTATCTATTGTCTGACCCCGTTGAAACTGAGTGAATTCAAACAATACTACTCCTTAAAACTCCCTAAAACAAGCAACTAAATCTTCATAAACCCTAATAATCCAAAACCCTAAACCCCCAATTCAGTTCCAATGTACCCATTGAAAATTCCCTGTTTCTGGTTAGAGTATTACACTAACTCATCCTCTTCCATCTAGAAAAAAAACCTCAAATTAACAGGCAAAGAGCAAAACCCTAGAAAATCAAATTAAGGGGAGGAGGAAAAGAGAACGAACCATGTGAGGATACTTGTCCTGATCGACGACCCTAGTGTTTTCGAGCTTGATGTTGAGGTATTGATCGACGGAGTGAAGGATCCCTCTGATTGCTAGATCATTCTTGAGATCCACCGTCACTTCCTTACCCGCCAACTCCTTGAAGTACGAGCAGAACAGCTGCAGTATGAACAATTTAGAACTTTGAGAGGTTGATGGAGGTTTGGGGTCGAGGAAAGAAACCCTAATTTGATGAAAAACAGGAAAAGAGAATAAGAAAGTTACCATCTTTTCAATTTGATTTGGGATCCAGAGAGAGATTGAGGGCGAAGACCCGAGTAGAAGGCGAGGAGCGCTCAGACTTTAGAGTTTCAAGTGGAGAAGAGGGCATTTAGGGTAGTTTTGTCAAAATACACATAATATACGTATAAAGGTGGGCTTTTGGGGCTGGGCCACAATTTTTACACTTTTTTGGGCCTAAAGCCTAATGGAAATAATTGGTGGGGCTGGGCCACATCAAATTCTCCATTTTGGGGCCTTGAAACATTTTTCCCTAAATTCAAAACACAATATTAAAGGAGATCTAGGTGCAATTTACCCTTTAAACAAAAGAAGTGCTAGACATGAATCTTCGACTTCCAAAATTCACGGCAGTGACTCCCTATTTGGGTGAATTCCTAAGTTTTTCCCTTTTTTCTTTCTCCTTTTGGTGCCCTGAATTCAATAATGCACATCTTAACAAGGGGAGAAGGAAATAAATTGTACTGTGCAACTGTTTTAGTAACATTGCATCAGAAATGAGAACATACTACCTCGAAGATAAAATAAGAATGTGCTTACAAAAAAGTTAGGGTTGAATCCAAATATCTTTGAAGAAGCACCTTAAGGGAGGCAGGGTTAGGTATGAGTCGGTTCGAAACGCAGGCGAAATCAACCCAGCTCGGTTTAGGTCTAAACCCAGCCCGATCCACACTGTGTCGGGCACACCCCGGCCCATATTGGAGGCGATTCATGGGCGGAGCTGGGTTTTGATTGGGCGGGGCTAGGCTTTGATCCAAATCCGGGACCAAAGAAGTAGGTTCAACTAGAGTTTAATTATAAATATTTAATTTGTTTAGCAAAAAATAAGCGAGCCTCAAACAGTCGAGGAGAGAGAGAGAGAGAGAGAGAGAGAGGGAGAGGTTCTAATAAAAACCTCCTTAGCCTAAAAACTAAAAACCTCCTTCATCCAATCAGTTTCACTATATATATATATAGGGAATGATGTATATTGGCACAAAATACATCAAGTAATACATGTGCAATAATTGAAATTTGCATAGAGATGCTCTTAATTTTTCCCACTACCTTTGCAATTTCGGTTTATATCGCACACGAATATTGACAAGTTTATTATTTTGACACTTATCTTAATTGTTTTCTTTTATGGATCTCAGTGACCACAGCAGAAGATGGGCTAAGCGCTTTGGAATACTTAGGCTTAACAGGAGACCCAAAACCAACTACGGTGAAAACCAATGTAAGCATCACTCGGTTTATTTTTCTTTTCTTTGTATACTCTTCCGTTTATAGTAAATAAAGTGGAACAAAATATAACAACTTCAATATTTCCAATGTCCACTTAAAGCATTAGTTCACTGACGTGTCACGTTTAGATCAAGTTTTGGCAGAAGATTTCACTTTGCTTGGAATGACAACATTTGGGAACATGCAAATAATATGAAGATATATATCCTTAATAAAACAAGTTAACAAAAACCGACAAATTAAGTTTTTTTTTTAAAATTGACTGATAAATGTCATTGGCAATTGATCCTTTTTCAGTCTTAGTTCTCATTGGTTTATTTTCTTATGAATTTAATTGCAGGATGCTAAGGTAAATATGATAATTACGGACTACTGTATGCCTGGCATGACAGGCTATGAGCTTATGAAGAAGGTTAAGGTATTTATTTATTCTAGCATCATATACCTTTTAAAAGTTGATATATAAAAGTTTTGATTACTGAAAACTTTTTGTTTTTGTTTTTGTTTTCTTTTTCTTTTTTTTCTTTTTTTTTGGTAGGAATCATCAAGTTTTAAAGAGGTCCCAGTCATCATTATGTCTTCAGAGAACGTTCCGACTCGCATCAAGAAGTAATCATTTCAAAGGATTTTATTTTCTTAGTTTTTAGATAATTACACCTTAATTTATGGAAATTTCTCCATGCATAATATTGATCAATGTGTATATTTTCTGTCCCTTACAGGTGCTTAGATGACGGAGCCCAAGATTTCATATTGAAGCCCATTCAGCAGTCTGATGTAAAGAGACTAAAATGCCATGTGCAGAAATTTGAGAGCCCCTTCAATGAAATGCTATGCCTTGGGAGATAAACAACAAGTATTTATTGGCAAAGATGACACTAATATTCCATAAATAAACAATCTCCTAATTTTGTCTCTAGCAAGTCTTAAGGGAGGATGATTTATTTCTACCAAATCTTACATTTTGTTTCCAGTTTCAATAATGGTGACAATGAACAGATCATGTGAAATTTCTCATTTGATGTTCATTTGAACTGCTACTTATTATGTGATTAAGAAAAATAATTAATCGCGATTTGATTCAGAGTGCATACTCTAGATTGACGATCCTAAGATAATTTACTTGCACACTTTAGGCGTTGAAGAACATAATTTCGGACAACATGAATCCCCATTAACATCAATTTGGTGTTCTCTTTTTTAAAACAGTGACTTTGTACACAGATAAAAGGGAAAGGTCATCAAGAATAGTTAAAATATTTATGTTTCATATACTATGGTTTTGTTTTAATATTCTATATATCTTTTTTTTTAGATATGAATCGAACCTAAGATCTTAGGAGGCATATTGGAACTCTCTAACCATCTGGGTCACATGTGGCTTTGCTTATTATTCTATATCCTTTCTCTTCGCCTCTCCACTCAAAATTTTATTCCAATTGAGTACCATCAACTAATATTATGTTAATAAACCCTGAAGTTTAATTTAACAAATTAAGTTCTTCTACCGACAATTTTACATAATTCAAATATGTTTACTGAAAATATTAATGGAGTTGTGCATATGGAGTTTATCAATTTTAGCCAAAGCATATTTTGCATGTTAATCTTCCACCTTGCGATTTTCATGAGGGGGAAAAAAGAACCCAAATTACAGTAGTTCTGTGAATCATACCAGCAATCAACAACCCAAATTATGTAACAGATCACTGAAGTTTCACAAATATCTCCAAAAATCATTCGGCACCCAAAACCCCAGCTCCGCAAGGGATGCCAATTTGACAAATTATCCACAATTACATAGAACAAGTCCATCCCCTTGAACAACTAATACAGTAAGATAATAAGATAAAAATCAATGGAAATGCCTGCGATGATGGTGGTGGTGATGATGCCTGCGGTCATCAAGCCTAAAGCACTGCAAGATTGGGTAGCAAGCAACAAACATGCATCTCCTGAACCCCCTAAAGATATAGGAAACCATGAAGCAGGGACAGCAGCAGCAAGCTAACAAAGGATCATCACGTGGCCCATCATCCACCCCATGGCCATGGCGGTCATCATGATGATGCCCCATGACCTTCAGCGAGGAAGCTGGAAGCTCTGCCTTGAGATTTTGGAAAAGAGAAGGGATTAGTAGGAGAAGGAAAAAGAAAGGGAACGTAAAATTTTGGGGTCTAAGAGAGTGAAATCTGGAAGAGACTTTTAAGTGGTTTAAAATATTTGGTGGCCTAACTCAACTCAACGGGCACGCGATCTAACAAGTGAGAAAGAAGAAAGAGTGGAAGAGGGAATATAATCGTGCGCTGCCCGCGCTTGGAACGCGTGTCTATTGTTGATTACGCAGCATATCCCCTTTTTATTTGATGACCTGTCACGTTTGGTTGGTGCTATCGACGAGGCCCCAGCACCATTCCAGGTATATAGGGATCTACATTCATGAGGTGTTCGAGAGTACCCATCCTATCAGAACCGCCGGTATTTAAGATGTAGGGGCTGTTTGGTTGTTGTTGGTAAAATTGTGTATTTATGACACAACTTGGAAAGTTGTTGTCCACCTCATCAATTTCACTTATATACTTTTCTTTGTTTGTTTTTGATTCCATTGGAATCATAAATTGCTTGTTTGGTTTGCAAATGTAACTTTAATTGTTTGTTTGGAAAGTATAAAAGTGGTCCCTACTCAAATGATCATATTAGTTGGAATTATTTTTTATTATTTTTTTCTGACTTCAATGTAAGCTTTCTCCTAAAATCATGTCTTTTTTTTATGAAATCACTTTACAAGCCACATCAGCATATGAAATCACTTTACACTATTTTTACAACTACAAACAAACAATTGAAAGTGATGAAAACTGACATTGGGATCCACTTTTTTACACTTTCTATCATTTTACATGATAAAAACATACAACCAAACAGCCCCGTAGTGTTCAAAGAGTATCTAACCCTATTAGAATGACCCGCATGTGAAAATTGGAATTTTAACCAACAATCGAGGGTCGGAACCACCCACTCGCGCATGTGGACGGTTCTAATAGGATGAGTAGTCTGCTCGGGAATCCTTTGTCAAGTACACACCCTATTAGAATTTTGCACCATATGGAGTGATCTCAACCGTTGATGGGGCACTTAAATTACCATAGTGCCCTCTTTAACTACACATGCCGACTCACACCGTGGCTCACTGTGCAAGGCATTTTAATAGGACGTGTAATGGCATAGATGGATCTTGAAGGGGTTTATATCCGGTCATAATTTTTCCACCAACGACCACAGTGAGAACCAAACACAATTTTTCTCTGATTCAAGTATCCCAGCCTCTACTCTCTTCCTTTCATTGACTGCGAAGCCCATTCAGATTTTACTTCTATACTAATTCTAGGACTAAGTACAGAGAGAACTCCAGAACGTTTTACTAAACACAAATCTGGCGATCATACTTTGAAAAGAAATTTGATTTCTCATGCACTTTAACGCTTAATAAAGAATTTCTAATACTTGACGGTTAATGAAGATGAGCATGCCCTTCCATTACACCAAGCTCTAAAGTCTAGATGAGGATTGACAACCACAATTTTATACTTTAACATGCCTATATAATTTAAGCAGTCTTATATAGACCAAAACTTAAACCATGCATACTTTAAATTCAGGATCAGTGAGATTTTAATCTGGATTATTATGATACATGTCAAAGGTCTTTTCCATTGCATCAAATTTAACCTAGATTATTGTGATAACGTCAAAGGTATTTTCCATTGCATTGAAACTCTGAAGTTGTGATGAGGCTTGAAAGTCATCATTTATACTCTAACAAAGATCACTCTTGAAAATCCTTGCCCAATTAGGGAACATAGGCAAGAAAACACACACTGCTTAGGCAAGGTTAAGTACAACACGCTAGACCCAACGAACATTTAACCCAAGAAAAAATAAATAAAAATAAAGCCGTACTATAGAATTCATCCATAGAGCATATGGAACTTCATAAAATTCGGTTGCGGGGCGAGGCCGGCGTGGGGGGGGATACATGTCAAAGGTCTTTTCCATTGCATCGAATTTAATCTGGATTATTATGATAACATCAAAGGTTTTTTCCATTACATTGAAACTCTAAAGTTGTGATGAGCTTTGAAAGTCATTATTTATACTCTAACAAAGATCACTCTCGAAAATCCTTGCTCAACTAGGGAACATAGGCAAGAAAACACACACTGCTTAGGCAAGGTTAAGTACAACACGCTAGACCCAACGAACGTACCGGCGAAATATCAAACAATCTTTAGAGAAAAGTGCATTGAGTGTCATATTTCCTTTAAAAGTGGAAGTTTAAAAAAAAAATCACTGAGCAAAAATATCCTTAACCCATTCTTTTGCCAAATAGCTCTAGGCACTGTTTGACAATCAAAAGAAGTGTCTTATCTAAGAGCTTGTGTCTTATTGACTTGGTCAATAAGCTAGTAGAGCTGTTTGGTGACAAAAAATAGGAGGAGATTATTTTAAAGATTGTGTCTTTTGCAAGTAGCTTTTGAAAAGCTATCTCAAGTAGCGTTTGTCTTTGGGAAGGAGCTGTCAATTTTTTTCTTCCGTTTTTGCACATAATAATTCTAATTTTATATCAATAATATTACATGACCTTTTTAGTCATTTAACAAATTTAAGCTAGGTGTACAGCTTCTTTTGCCAAACAGCTCTAGTCAATCAGCTAGCTACACAGCTATCCGCTACAATTTCACAGCTTTCAGCTAGCTCGACAGCTTTCAGCTATAATCTCGCAGCTTTCAGCTAGTTTTACCAAACAGGGCCTACATATTAGCAATAAGACAAGTCTTTCTGCATCTCCATATTCTGTTTGAATAAACATGCAAATTAATAGCACGCCATGATCCTTAAAAGACAATACAATTCCAACATGGAAGGCACCAAAGAGTAAAGCAACACGAAAATATTAAGTTCAATTGATCAAGTTCACAAAGAAATGCAGTTATGCCAACCTCCAATATCTCTCTTGGTAAAGCACTTGCAAAATAAGTCACGGAGAGGGGTAAAAAGTGTCTTTTCTTATTAAAGTGAGACTAGTTTATTAATTATTTTCCACCAGCAAATTGAACGAAGAAAGAATAACTTCACCGGGAACAAATTTGCTAATGTGGATTTCTACTGTGCAAAGTGAACCAGCATCTCACTGTTCAGGTTCTGGCTTCTCAAAAAGCTGCTTCTTCAACCAATCGAATGGCTGCAAATAATATTAAAAGTTAATGAATTAGAAATAAAACTCTAAATAACACAACTGAGTTTCTAATGGGGGCACACAAAAAAAGATTGTTAGAGAAGAAAATTGTTGTCATAGGGATGGAACAAGTAGGACAAGTATAGCACAGTTGAACCATATCGGAAATTTAGATAGTAATTTCTGCAGAAAGCTGACAAGCTGACCATCATTTTCAACTGACCAAACTTGGTTTGGTGAGAATGAGAGCGTCGAGCAATTACATTTTATCTATTATGCTTCTTTATCCTCTTTCTCTGTTGTCATTTACAACTAACTTTTATCTTGGATAACCAATCTACTTAAATTGTAATACCTCACATAATATAAAATGTCATAAACTTATGAAATTATTTAACATGATCATGAGGTAGGATACGCAGAAAATCTCGAATTACTTAATTCACACCCATAGATGATTCCTTCTCATGTTTATTCCAGCTACATTTTGCTCCTTCCTCATTGGTTGTTTAAGCTTAACTGCCATTATGACCCCAAGACGACACAACTTCGTAAAAGCAGTGCCTATGCCCTCTAACCTAAATTAAATAGCAAGACAAATCAAGTAGATCTTCTACCCATTAACTGACCAATATAATATGTCAATTTCCTGCATGACTGCATCTTCCCACTATTTCATTAGTAAAAAACTAAAAATAATCTTGCATCACCAAAAGATCATGGGGGGAAAAAATAAGTATGATGTGGTAGCTCATTTTGCTAAATGAACTCACAGGAGATAAACTTGTGGCGAAGCCCATCCTGGTAGACACAACAAAGAATGTGCACAGCAA